CCCAAATGGGGAAGAGGGCTGTGTGCTGCATGATGCTGAGTCAGCCCTGGGGAACGAGAGGGGATTTACAGCCGCCTGTAAATCCCTGGGTGCTTGCTGCTGGGACAGCCTTGGATGCAGGGGATGCAGGGTGTCAGGGGGTGGATTTGGGGCTGCTGCTGCTGAAGTCTTGTTCAGGGTCATCTGGCTAAACTCAAACAGGTCCTGGTGGTGGCCGTCAGCCTGTCCCAGTCAGGAACTGCCGCAGGGCATGAAGTCCATGAGGCTGGAAGGCACACAGCAGTGCAGAGCAGCCGTTCGCTAGCTAACAGGAGTCCCCGGCCTCTTTACTGCACCAGCTAAAGCCCCTTCCCAACATCCTGGTTGCAAGCTGCCTGCCAGGGCCAGTCCCATGTTCCCCTGCCCACCACAGGCACAGGGCAGAGCAGTCACCACCCCAGCACCAGTGCCCACCTCGTACGTCCTGAGGTGCAGAGCAAGGCCAGAGGCAGCTCTGGACCAGCAGCAAGATGCACAGTCTGTCCTGCCCATCGCATGTAACCTGTGCAGGGTCCTGGAGCAGTGTCAATGCCCTCCAGTCCTGCTCCTTGCAGGCGGCTCTCAGGTGCTGCTCAGGGAATTTGCTCCTGGCCTCCTTGCAGATCTTGGAGTAGGTCTTAGCAAAGAGGTGCAGGACTCTGGGAAAGAACGCTGGGAGCAGAACATCTGGCATGTGGGAAGCAAAGAAGAGCCCTTAGCAAACTGCCAAGCTGCTCTGGGGACAGGCTGGGAGAAATGAGATGGGAGCACACGTTTAGGCAGGACACACAGCCAGAGGTGGGATGGGGATGGTCATGGAGTGAGAACAGGCAGCCCTGGGGTGAGCACAAGGCCCTGGGGTTATGCAGCCACAGCAAGAGAGCTGTCTTCAGAGGGGGAACCCTATAGGTGAGCCAGGACGCCGCAAACAGTTTCCAAGGAGAGACCTGCAAGCCATGCTTGCAAGACTCATGGGGAAGCAGAGGGTGTCTCATCAAACAGACTCAATAGCAGTCAGTATCAGGACTGCAGGAGGAGTGTGACTGTCACATCATCATGACTGCTGCAGCATCCGACAGAGAACAAAGAAGGCACCACATTAACACAGCAGCTTTTCAAGGAATCATAGAATCACAGCGTGGTTTGGGTTGGAAAGGACCTTAAAGCTCCTCCAGTTCCAAACCCTGCCATAGGCAGGGACAGTTTCCACTAGACCAGGTTGCTCCAAGCCCTGTCCAAGCTGGCCTGGAAGTGTCAGTGTGGTGGAAAATGGGTTCATGCTCTGCTGGGGCTCTTCTCTTGCAAGGGCTGCAGGCAGTACCGAGTCTGAGGACAGCAGGGGGGCAGATGTCTGCACAAGGGAGCACGGGTTGCAAGCAGGAATGTGTGCATCCAAAGTAAAGGCCCACATATTAGGGAATTGAGGGGAATGCCTTTCCTTCCCACACCCTTCCTGGCAGCCAGACCCAGCACTCACCCTCCCAGTGTGACAGGCAGTGGCACATCCCCAAATCCCACACGTTTCCATGCAGCAGCTATGCCATACAAGGCAGTGACCGCCAGGCTGGGGATGGGCATGTCGGTGGCTCTGACACCCCTGTGACCACTGTTTTGGGGACGTCAAACCATGTATGAGCACATGAGAGCTTTGTGCATACTCAAAACACCCAGGGCTCAGGCTAGCCCTTCTGCAGCATTGCCTGGGGACAGCCCAGCTCCTGCTCCAGGCTTACAGAAGCTGCTTCCCTGGTCCCTGGCTGGTGTGACCCTGCTCATGGCAGGAGCAGTGCTGAGGCAGGAGCAGGCACATCCCGGTTCCCTTTCGGTCGAAGGACACACGGCTCTGCGGTCATGGCATGTCCTGGGACTCAGCACTGAAACAGGTGCATGCCGTGTTGACTCACTTCCTTGGCCCCTCACTGACTCCCTCTCTGCCTCAGTGCCCCCATGTGCACAAGGAAACCCACGGGGTTTCTCTGAATGAACCTCAGTGTCAGCACTGCCCTCAAGCAGCCTTCACAGCACAGAGCCCCTATTTCCCCTTGCTTCAATGCTCATGGGGCAAGAGCCAGTCTCTGTGCACCAGCATCTGCCTGTGGTCCATGGGTGACAGCATGGAGATTTGGGTGAGGTGCTGCTCCTGGAGAGCATCATGCAGGGAGCAGGGCATGCAGGTGCAAGCACCAACTTCCTGCCGCAGGCAGGAGCAGGTAGGAGCCCTCTCTCCAAGTGGCCCCAGCAATAGGGTCCCCACTTTAGGAGAGGGATGCAGACCTTTTTGCACCACAGACAGGCCTTTGGGAAGAAGAATCTCAAACAAAAGGAAGAGACTGGATGCAATACTACCATTGGCTGCTTTGCAGTAGCAGGCAGAGACAAGAAAGGCATTGATGCATGGCTCCTCCAAGTGTGCCACAAAGCCAAGGGGGAAGATAGGGAACTGAGCACCATGCAGGACTGGAATAAGCATGTTCTCAGGAAAGGGATGCCCGATAGTGATGGCCACAACATGCTTCATTTCCATGACCCTGAATAATCACCAAAGACCGTAAAAATCCAGTGGCATCTTGTTTATCTTCAGAAAGGGGAAATGTGTGAAATGAGGAAACTCGGATAAAATGAAGCTAAAAGAAGCAACATGGTCACATAGTGTCCAGCAAGCTTTCAAAGATATAAGGCAGCTGTTCACGGCTTTTGGTATCAAAAGGTAAAGAGAAACCAGCATGGGTAACCACTAGGGCCAAGAGGTTAAGTGGAACAGAGAGGCCCCTTCAAAGAGTTGTCTAGATGACAAAAAATAGCATATAAGATGTAGAAGTTCAGTAAGACAAACAGGAAAAAAGAGCAAAGACCAGCCTGCAGAAGCAGCCAGCGGTCCTTTCTGCAAGCACTTCAAGAGTTTCAATTCTGACACAAAGTCTGTAGGGTCAAGGGGAGAGCATGCCCTTACAGAGGAGAAATGACATCCCCCAGGGTGGCAAGATGGCTGTGAGACGTGGCTCAAATGGCAGCACACTGTGAGGTCATGGCAAGGTGGGACATGTGCGAGGCAGAATGCCTGGATTCTGGCACCACATCAGGATGGAGCTCCCTACCTACACCCTACACAGATAGACCCTTATCATCTTCCTGCTGTGCCAGACCTGTGCTCTGTGATGGGGTGTCACAGTGGGACCTGCCAAACCCAGAAGCCCCAGGACACCTGTGTCCTGTCTTGTTGCAAACAAGCTAAAGCTGACTTTGTGGCTTTGGGTTTGCCTTGTGCAAGCAGAGCATGCAGCTGCTGGACCCACTGGGGAAGGTGGCACTGGCTTGGAACACCCCTCTACCCTCCGTGCAAGAGCCCGCGTTACTCCGAAGGCTGGATTTTTTCTGATGTGGAGCAAAGGGAAGTGTGAAGAGTGAAAGAGCAAGAGGGCTTCCTGGCAACTGCTTGGGCCACACTTCCTCCATGGCTTTTGAGGTTTCAGATGGGGCAATGAAGGGCTTTTGGAGATGCCGTATACCCTTAACATAGCTGCTGACAGCCACTGTGTGGGCAGTGGTGCACAGAGGGATTGGGGATGTGATTTTTTTTTTTCAGTCTTTTTCGATGTATGGGATTTCTCTACTGATTTTTCCAAAGATCTTCCAAATGAGCAACCTATTCCTACTGATAGTGTGCTTTTGTAGTCCTTCAATTACTTCTTGAAAGACCCACAAGCATCAAGGGGAAGGGGGAATTGATATCTGAGTTGCTGGCTGTGCACTTGCAACCCCAAGGCACTTGTTAACATTTCAGTATGGTAAACTTTCTATGGGTGAGCTTCAAATCTGAGCAAAGGGCACAAAAAGCCATGTTCCTCAGGGAGACCAGTGGCCCTGCCAGCTTTGTTGCAGGAGGAGGTGAAGCACAGACAAGATTGTGAGGATGACACTGCATTTCTGAGCATAAAGGGCATAAGGAAGTGGCCAGGCAGACTCCAGCTTTGTCCCTAGATGTAAAAGACTGATGGAGGATCTGCCCTCGAGCACCATAACTGCAGAAAAAGACTTGTACCACATTGTGCTCAGATTTTTGGTGTGGCTGGAGTATTTGGAGAGGGCCAGCTCATGGTGGCCTTCTTCGTGCTGCTGAATAAAGGTGTTGTAGGGTGTGCAAATCAAACAAAGCATGTGCATCAGTAGAAAGCAAAGCCTGACCCCAGGCTTGGGAGTACTGGGTCTTGCTGAAGAGCAAAGAGGAAGGCCATCACAAGGGGCTGCAGCCCTGTAGCGAAGCCTCAGGAAAGATGTCAGAGCTCGTTTTAATCGCTGCTGTGTGTTTTGGCTGGGATGCAGACCAATCACATCCAGCTGGAACACAGATTCACCAATTCCTGCCCTGGGCCACCTCAGGTCGGCTGCCCCAGCCAGTGCCACCAGCCTCCAGCTGGACAGCATCACCAGCAGCCACCTCCCTGCCCACTGCTGTCCCTGTGCCACCTTCTCACCTCTTCAAGGCCATTCCTGCACCCAACATGTGCTGGTAACACAACCTGCTGCAATACTTGGGCTCCAGGTCCCCAGGGCTTTCATCAGCTTATTCCTGAGCATCTGCTCTCAGCCCAGTCATGAGCACCAGCCCCTTCTCACAAAACCACATCTTTCCTGCCCATGGCATGCGCTGTCAGGTAATTAAAGCAATCAGTGCACTTCAGAAGTCCTTTCCATCACAATCCTCATCAGGCAGTAACAAGGTGAGAGTTGTCCTGCTGCAGTCTCTGCCTGGTTTTACTGTGTGTGTTTATGGAGGCTCCATCTTCCTGAAAAACCCCAGCTGTGAGCGAGCACAACTCACAGGTCCTCTGGGGACTGTCGATATCTGCGCTGGGAGAGGAAGCAGCAGCCCAGCTGTTGTGGCTGGTAGCATCTCCTGCCACAAAGCCTGAAAACTGTGGTTCTTAGGGCAGCACAATTGTGAAAGGGGCGTGAAGCTGCCCTTGTGAAAGAAAAGAACGAAAGCAGCACTTGACACTGGCAGAGGTTCTCTCTCCAATGAGGAAGCCTCTTGCACTGTATGTGATTTCTGTTTCCTTTGTGGGCTCGCACCTCTTGCAATCAGATGGGTGAGCTGTGAGGAGCCCGGCGCGGCTGACACCTCGTCCTGCCCTGGAAGCATAAACAAATATGGCCCTGCCGCGATGGATCTTTCTCCTGCTCCTCACACCTCTGCTGGCAGCAAAGGAGGAGGAAGAGCAGAACCCCAACATCTCTGGAGAAGCTGAGGAAACAGGTAACAAGGGTTCATTCCTGTACACACAAGAGAAGGTTTTGCTGCCCTCCTGTTAGGTTGTCTTTCATCTTTACTGCATGCAGGATGTATCAGAGAGGACTGCAGCTGATGTCCATACCTGGGCCCAAGAGATCTGGGTATTAGTTGGGGTTTTGAGGTGAAGCTCTGTTTGGGCATGGAAGGCAGAAGACCTCAACATGATAGAAAAGCCTCTGCAGGGTCCGTAATGTTCCTCTGAGGAGTAGGCAGTGTCCTTGGGAGCACAAGGTGGCCACATCTCCTTGCACATTGCACTGATGCCACATCCTCACTGCAGTGGAGATGGGTGCTAGTGCCCAGCAAAGACATAGGGAGCCATAAGCTGAGTCCCTGTGTATCCAGGAGGCACATGAAGCGCTGGGATTGCTCTTTAATGGGCTTCCTTGGTGCTGGAAGTCCAGGGGACCCCCAGGGCTCTGCCAGGCTCTTCCTGCACAGGCTGCACATTTTCATCTCAGCAGGCTCACATGTTATTTCACCTGCAGGCTCACATGTTATCTGACCTCTCAGCAGGTTTGAGATGTGGTTCAGGGGCTGTAACCTTGCATTGTTCTGCAGCTGTTTGAACTGGAGTATTTCTCTAAGCCAGTCTTTGATAAAAATCACTAAATTAGCATCCAGCCATGTCCCAGTCCATGGCGAGGATGTATCTGGGCTGATGCAGGCTAGAGAAACCTGATGATTACATATGGTATGATAGAGGCTGGGGAATGGGACCAGCACCTTTGGCTGCTGGTGTGAAGTGACGGCAGCACGTGTACTATGTGGTATGGGCCATAGGAGCCCGTTCCCAAGGGAAATGTGCCTCTGGTTGCAGGGATTGTGAGCACAGCACGCTGTTACTCAAAAACCAAGGGCTAAACCTGCAACAGAGGACATCCTCCTGCCCAGAGTTGCTTCCCCTTGTCCAGATCCCCCACTCAAGCTGCTACCAGGACAGCGTCTGCAACCATGCCCAAGGGTGGCTCTCCAGGTTGCTTGCACAGCACACACTGCAGCCAGGACCTGTCCCCACCATGTGTGGTGGGATGCAGCGGGTGGGCAGCAGACTTGATGTGCCCTCCACATCTCAATCCCCCAGCTCATCCCTGGGGCTGCCTGCGGCAGAGATGGTATTGCTGAGTTTGCACTTTGTTGTTTGTGAAAAGAGGAACCAAGACAGAAGAGAGTTGTCAGCCGCACCCAGCAATGCGGGCAGCCCTGCTGCATCCTCTGCACGTGGGCTTATCCCATTCTGGGACCTGCGCTTTATGGATTGGGGGCCTTCTCTTTGCTGAGGGACAGGACAAGGGGGATGGCCAGGATGGGGCAGGAGGGTCCCTCCCATCCACATTAGGGTGAAATGGCCTCTATGGGGCAGACAGCAACAGTGGGGCAGGGTAAAACTGTTGGGTAGAGACAGGGAACACAGGACATGACTTAAAGGTCTCTTTTTCCAGGGGTTCCTGAGCATCTCCCACGACCCTTGCAGACGTAGGGTGTAATCAGGGAGGGGCAACAGCCAAGTGAGGACTGGATAAGCTGCTCCCCCTCACACTGTTGACCCTTTGCAGAACTTACAAAGTTCCCCCATGCTGAGGGGACCAGGGCGCAGGGTAATGTGGGGCTGTCCCCATGCAGCAGGGCTCCTGCCTGCCCAAATCACAGTGCCAGCTCCCCCCAAGCACTGAGCACTGGCAGCACTGGCTCCTGAAAAGCCACAGGCATGGCAGTAGTTTTAGTGAAGGGCCTGGCATTTGCTGAAGAAATGAGAGCAGATGGCTGAGGAGCATCCCAGGGATGAGGGCATTGTTCAAGTAAAAGCAGAGCAGCTGCAGGGAGAGGATGTGGTTGGTGCACGTGGTGCAAGTGTGAGCCAGCACAGCACTCCTCTCTGCTCACCCCATCACACCATGCAGGGTGCATTGTCTCACTGTCCTATTGTCACTTTATTGTCCTGCTGTGCTGTTCTTACAGGGGTTTTCTCCCACCTGAGATGCTGCACCTCTGTGAAAACCTCGTTCCCTTACAGTCCCAACATGCTTAGGAGGCAGGTGGAGAAGTTTCTAGGGAATGATTTCCCTGCAGAGGCAGGGTCTATGACCCAGGCTGGCCCTGATCCCTTTCTCATCAGCCTTGCTTAACATTACATAGTGATTTAATTGCAGCTGCCAAGGTGCTCTAACTAGGGGCATACTGCAGTGCTCGGTGTGTAGGAGGGTGCTGGGTAAAATAAAGCCACACTCAGCCTGAAAGGTTTTGTGTCAGTGGGACTCTGATTTCAAACAGTGCCTAGAGTAAATCCTGTTGGGAGCACAAACACTAAGAGATGCTGCAGAGGAGTGCCTTGGGGCTCAGAGCTGTGTGCTCCACCATGCTCGTCATTACCAGAGCATTACAGATTCAGGAAACTAGTATTTCACCTCCTGTCCTTCAATCCATGTCCAAGCTCCTTTTCTATGGCAGAGCAGTACAGGTTAAAGTGCCACCATTTCCTTACTCTTCCTGCAGTGGCTGGTTCTGTGATCTGCTTTGCCACCTCCTTTTCCCAACACTGCTCCCAAGCAGAGCATCTCAGAGGTGCCTCTGCCCCTTCCACTCTCACCCTGCCCATCACTCTCAAAGACCCACCCAGCACCTTTGGTTGCTAGTGGTGAGTACAGAGATGCTTTAAGACTCGTGTGTGTCTTCTCAATGGCTTGCAATATCACTTTACATGGTGGAAATGGTGGTTGCTTTTCTTAGCAAGCATATGGCATTAAACACAGCAAGACTCCAGTGTGCTTTGCTGTCGTCTCTGCTAGCTGCTGAGCTGCTGTGGGAGAAGGGTTGAACTTTCCCTGCTGCTCCTTAGATTTCCCCTTGTCTTTTATTCTTTATGTATGGGATAATAGAGTGCAAGAAAGTACACCTTTTGCTGGTAAGCAAAGGGCTGACCTGAATTACCAGCATAGCTATTTGTCCTGATCCTCCCTGACATCTGCTTCTGGTGCATGCTGGGGCTTTGTTTTGCCTGCCAGGCTCATAACTCCTTTGCAGCAGGGACAGGCAGCCCAGATATTTCTGTAAAATGCTTTCTATATTCATGGGTATTAAACCATATTAACAAGGAGGGTATTCATTTAGTAGAATCAACTGGAAAAAAAAAAACAAAACCAACCCACATAACAGTTAATCTCTGACTACAAGAGGCAAATAAGCTAACCTTTTGTTACCACTCCTGCCTAGGCATTTAGCATTGTCCATTTTGCAGTAAGCACACATTGCACATTGTAAGAAATGCCTGTTTGATCACATCTACACCATATTTTCCATGCTGAAATTTCACTTGTCTCAGCCTCTTTCCTATAGCTGGGGGTGGAGAACCTGTGGGCAGCTCTCTGCATACCACAGTTCAGGGTGAAAAACAGTGTCTGATGACAGTTTCTTTGCTCTCCCAGATGCTGTTAGTCCCTATGAGGCCAGAAGCTGAGTGTTTCTTTCCCCTTTCTCTCTGAACACCCTCCCTTTCCCAGCAGTGCCCCATCCCCCTGCGCACAGATATGTGCATCCACCTCCTTTGTACTAGTGGTGAGCTCCAGACTGATGGAGACTTCCCATAGCCACCACCAAAGCACACAAATGGGTTAGAGCAAAGGCTCCTTTGCTCCAAGGAGCTCTTTTCCCATGGCAAATGTTACGGGAAAATGTAAGAAAGAGGGTGATGACAGAGGTGTCCCTCCCCTAGCCTGTGTATCTCGACTGCACCCCACAGTCATGGGTTAGTTTCTCTCAATGAATTTCAAATTGTACTCATACCCCTGCTATTGGGCTTATTGGAGAAGCGAGGTTGAATTAGATGGTATTCAGCAACGTTCTTGAGACAAAAACAGATGCGGGCTGAAAGTGTCTTCTCTTCCCCTTTCTGCATGGAAGCAGAGACTTCGAGGCTTTACCCTCAAGCAGTCATCAAGAAATGCCATCAGGAAGGGCTCTGAGTGGCTGCAGGTGCGTGAATGTAAATGGTGTCAGTGCTGTAACACCCTGCCTGTTGTCAGTTCCTCTGCATGGATGGCATGGGCGCTGGTAGAAGGATGCTCTGTTTACAAGGAGCTTTGGCAGCCTCCCAGGCTGTCTCACTGAGGTACACTACCCCTTTGCAATGCAAGCAAGCTCATTTTGTCATACCCATCCCTCTGTCAGACAGCATTAATCCCCAGCCTAATTTCTAAGGCTGGTGCACTCTCCTACAGCAGCTCCCTCCAGGCTCCTCTGAGGATGGGGCTGAGCTGTGGGCTCTGCCTGCCCTTTCTGATCAATCCCACACAGGCTTCGTGCCCTGTCCCGTGTGCTCCATGCGCAGTCCAGGTCAGGGTGCTGTGTCAGTCCCTGCCCACACCATGAGTGAGCATGACATGACCACATCTGGCAGGCCAAGGTGCACAGGGGAGCCTGTAGGGAAGAAAAAGGGAGACCAAATGACCGCTCCCATAGCTCAGAGGGCCCAGAAGGGAAAGGACAAGGTGCAGAGGACAGGCATCCCATTAGTGCTTGCATGGGGCTCAGTGGGCACAGCCAGGTACAAAGAGGGATCAAGAGGGTTTGCCTGCAGGACTGCTCACTTGTGCAGTCCTTGTGCCTTTACCAAGCCTTTTTCACCTGAAAAAAAGGAAAAGATTCTATCGTTCTATGCTGACATTTCTGGCAAAGGGTTGGGGCTGATAAATGCCCAGCTTAACAGATTTCACTGGAGACCTGACGGAGTTGGCCAGCCTAGTCAGAAATGTGTGGCTGTTGTTCCAGCTTAGTCCAAGGATCCCTTCACACCCTCTTCCAGCTTGGTATCTTTACACAGCACCTGTTTACTTACACCTTAGTGAACCACTGAAAGTTAAGGGAAAGACTGAATCAATTCCAAGTGCCTGCCAACAGTAATCATTACAACACTACAGACTCCTAACTTCAGCATGCAGAAGCTTCACCTTTCAGTAAAAAAAAAAACACCATAAACTTTAAACAAAGAGCAATTCTCTTTTGTACTACAGCAAGTCTGCACTGTGTGACACCTTTAACACAGCAACCATGAGAAGTGGCTTTTTTAAACTCACTGTTACCCCTGGCCTTCATAAGGAAGCACCACGCAAGGCCAAAAACCTCTAGAGAGGTTCATTCAATCAGTGGCAAATGCTTTGCTACACAAAAGGCACTAAATGTGTTGATGAGCAGCTCAGAGAGGGCTGGGAGCAAATCAGAGCTCTGGCATACAGCCATAGCCAACCCTGCCAGCAGAGCATCAGCGTTTGTAGGAAGACACTGTCCCAGACACCTCTTGAAATCTGCATCTCTGTTACATGCAGAGGAGAATTCACCTTTACCTCCTCATCTCCTGCCCTGCAGGTTGCCATGTTCTGCGCTGCTGGTGGGGTTTGTGTCACTGCAGGGATGGTAACAGCCACCAGGAGGTACGGAAGCACTTAGAAAAGGAAAAGCAATGCAAAATGAAACACTATAAATGCCTTCATAAGTAGCTGTCACCTGCCTGAAATAATTGCTGCTCTATTTACCATTTTGGTGGTATTTTATTTATCTTGTTTAATAGGCAGGGGTCTTATTCTGGCTGAGGTGATGCAGCTCTTGTGGGCTCTTAGCCTGCTGCATGAGCAATACAGAACAATCATGGTTTCCTGGCAAGTTCTAATGCTGCCTGGGCATTGTGCTGGGAAGGAGTACAAATTCACTGTGCCTGCCTGGATGCAGCCTGATAACTTTGGACAACGGCTGAATATACTTACAGCTTTACTTACAGCTGAATTTGTTCATAGAAAAAAGCTAACAGAGAGGTACATTTCTTACTACATGAAAATTGGTACCTGGTCAGAGCTCGAGACCCACATTAGTGCCATGCAGACAGACAGCAGCACTCCTGTGTAGGAACTAATGGAAAACAAATATAGTGATTTACTTCCATCAATTGCCCAATCTGCACGTTTCAAAATGCCACTAAACATGCAGCAGGTTAAATAATATGTACCTGCAGTCCCTGCTGAGTCCTTTTTGCCAACCCAGCTGTGGGAGTGTTTCCCCTCCCTGGTAAGGATGGGAGTGATATGGGATGGGAGGTAGCCGGTCCTAGAAGCCAGCGGGTATTTTGTGCAGGGCATGGAAAGGATTAAATAGAAAGTGTAACCTTGCAGAGCAAAAGCAAACTGGCAGCTTGATTGGGCTTTTTGCTGCAAATAAGTGCTTATGTGGGTATAAGCAAGTAGGGCTCAGCAGGATGATGGGGACACAAGTGAGTGATGCCAACAAGGACTCAATGGCTCTGGTGCCACAGCCCCTGTCTTTGGGGCAGAGGGCAGCATCCTCCAGGCAGCTGGAACACATTGGCTGGGACCCCTCTGCAGCACAGAGGGGCTTTGGGTACATTCCTGCACTGCAACTGAGGGTGCAAGGGGATCAATACACCCAGGGCTACATTCTGGGAGGTGATTATCTGTGCCACCCCTCTGCAGTGATGGGGACCTCGTCACCCCCCGCAGATGCTTCTGGAGCCCAGTGATGCTCAGGGCTCTCCCTCATGGCTTTTGCACACAGGAAGATGTAAAGCTCCCTCTGACTGGGACTCCAAGCTGCGGCTGGCCCCATACCACAGCAGCTATGCCCTGAACGACTTGGTGCAGCTGAGCTGTGCTGGGGAGTACATGCCATCAGTCTCTCGGATCAGATGCACTTCCAATGGGACCCACACTTTTTGGAACACGACTGCCACCTGCAAGGATAAGCAGAGCATCGCTCTGACCCCACTTACCTGTGGTGCAGGTTAAGGGTGCTGAGCTGGTGGTAGACCCTCCGTGACTGGGTCGTGCTTCAACCCCACTGGGGTGACAGTCCAGGAATGGGAGACCTGGATGTCTCAGCCTTCCCCACTGTCCTGGCAGTGTCAGGGCACTTTTGTCTCAGCACCCTGCCATGGGCAGCTACTGGTGTCTGTGGTCCTGGGGAGGGGTTCAAAGGCAGGAACAAGGGTCCCAGCACTGACTATGTGTCCCAGTGGCTGAGGTGGTGAGAGTGGAAGGGAGGAGCCCAGTCCATGGACAACTTTATCTAAATGGAGCCTGACTGGGGAAGCCTACATGTATGTGGGGATAGATGGGACTGCTCCTGCAATAGATCTCTCTCCTGCTACCTTCACTAGGTGCAAAAAAGGGATCTGGAGTTGAGTGTGGTATCAAGGGAGCTGTACAGTGTCAAAATGAGGGCAGTAGACCCCTTAGCAGGCCCCTTTCCATCCTGCTTACACTGTCTCCTGCTCCTCTGGGCAGAGAAATGCCAGCAGCCCCAGTGGGATTCAAAGCTGCACTTTACCCCACACAAGAGGTTTTACAGGATCAGTGAAGAGGTGACACTGAGCTGCTCTATGGAGGATCCTATTGCCCTTGCCGTGATCAGATGTGCAAAAGGAGCATCTCCAGATTCTAAGTATGACTGGGAGATGGACAGTCAGGGAACATGGCATGGGGTGGCAGAGAACCTGACCTGCACCACAGGTAAGTGGGGAACAGTAGGCCCCCCTGCTACATGCATCTGTTCTTGAGGAGGGACCTTGAATATCCTGACATATCCATGAGACACCTTGGCCACAGCTCAGAGACAGCCCCCAGGTGGGAGCAGACTCCTTTAGAAGCCTTTAGTGTGGGACAGGTTTTCTGACTGTCCCTGCATCTCTTCCCAGTCAATTCCTGAGTTGCAGGACATGGGGAAGCTGGAGGAGGCCAGATCCTGCCCCTCACTTCACCCCTCTCCCAGTGTCCTGTATGACCACCTTGCCCAGGCACACACTCCTGCCCTGGAGATATCAAGTTGTCCTTCCCCAAGGTCAAATACGTGCAAGGGAATTTCTGCAAGCGAGCTCTGTAAAACCAGTCTATGGAAATGCCTGGTGGGGCAGGAATAGCACAGGTGCCTGGATACACCTTCTGAGGTCCATAGAGTGTATAGGCGATGCAGCACCAGCTCTCCCATGTCCCCTCTCTACCTTCATCCTTGATAGCCAGTCATGATGCTGCCAAGCTGAGCAGCACACATGCCACTGTCCCTCCTTGGTGCTGTGTTGCCCATGCAAAGTGTTGAAGGAGGCAGCCCAGTCAGGAGACAAGAGACAAGGTAGTGCCAGATGCGAAAGCCATATGGGCAAGCCAGCAGCTCCTGCAGTGGTTTCTGAGCAGGGCAAGTGTGGAACCCTGCAGATGGGTGCCATGGCATGGGGAAAGTTTGGGGACCAGCACTGTTGTGCCCACGGAAGTGCCATGATCCTTGCTGTGCCTCCCTGGGTTGCACAGGTCTGCCTGTCCCCCTGCCTGCCCTTGCAGATGAGGAAACCTGCAAATGCAGGAGCTGGGTTGAAGGGACTGAATTGAGCCCTGGGTCAGCCCCTGGTATCAAGGCTGTAGGCTGAGGGGGATGGAACTGAGGGAAGAGCAATGCCCCTCCTCAGGTGATGGGGATGCGGGACTGGCCTGGGCAGGGGCAGAGTTGTGCTGAGTGTGCAGGTGAATGAGCATGCAGCCCAGTGCTCAGGTGAGATGGGAGGAGAAAGACAACATGGGAACCTCCCTGGTTGAGGCTGTGGGAGATGGCTAAGAGTGTCCACAGACAGAAGTGGGTGGATAGTGGAGGTTCATGGATGAAGGATAACCATGCTTCAGGTACACAAGGAGAACCCAATCCCAACAAGCCTTACCTATGGGTGATGTCCTAGCAGATGGGTATTTCACCTTCCCTCTCCCTCCAGGGCCCGATGGATCACTGGGGATCTCCCTCCCATGTCCCTCCTCAGCACCTCCCACCCCAGCTAACATCCTCTTTTCAGATCCACTAGAAACGTGCCAAAGGCCCCAGTGGGACACAAGACTCCAGCTGAAACCAGACCAAGATAGTTACCAGAAGTATGAAGAAGTGATGCTAAGCTGTCTTAAGGGTTTCCAGCCACCCTTCACCCATGTCAAATGTATAGGAAAGAACATGTCCAACAGCAATGGGAAACCTGAACACAGAGAGGTTTGGCTTGGAAAGGACAGCAGAGGCCAGTGGAACCACACTCAGGACAGAGTGGAGTGCATTGGTAAGGGTAGCATCAGAAGCTCTCTTGGTTGCCCCGCTCTGCCCCTAGCTGAATGATTGCTGATATCCCACCACCACCCCCTGTCCCAGATTGTCACCCCCCACTCCATCTAACCCCTACTTTCCCCTATAACAGAAACATGCCAAAGGCCTCTGTGGGACACAAGACTCCAGCTGGCACCAGACCAGAGCAATTACAAGAAGAATGAAGAAGTGATGCTGAGCTGTCCTGAGGGTTTCCAGCTACCCTTCACCCACGTCAAGTGCTCAAGGGTCCAGTCTGTCAGTCATGGGAAGTCAGAAGTTTGGTTTCGAAAGGACAGCAGAGGCCGGTGGAAACGCATTCAGTACGAAGTTGTGTGCATCGGTAAGAGAGGCATCAGGAGCAGCATGCTGCTTTGCAGGGACAGGATGCTAGGAATCTGTAGGGGTGAGAATCAGCATGGGAAGGTCATGGTTTTCCCTCGGGGCCAGGGCTGGGGGGTTTGATGACTGTGGAGCAGTTCCTGCAGTTAAAGGATGAACGTACATGTTGTGCTCTGCACGGCACCTAAGGCTGCCAGCGACCACACACCTTAGGGGGAGAGAGGGCAGAAGGATCTCTTTGTTGCTTCATGTGATCTGTGATGAAGGTGTCCCAGGAGGGGACACACTATGCTGCACTTCCCTCTCTTCCCTGCACCACATGTACTGATGTTCAAACAGTCACAGACACTTGTCTGGCTGTGGGAACTCTCCCAAAACCTCATGTCCAGCTCCTAGGAGCACGGTGACACCAAACTCCTCCTACTCCCCTACCAGGGAGCAGGAGTGACGAGTTTCGTCCATCAGAAGGCATCTTGCTGCTGCTTCTCCAGCTGGATGTGCCTGGGTGCGGGCACTGGCCGGGTGCCTGTGGTGGGGCAGGTCAAAGACTTGTGGCCGTGGTTGTGGTGCTCAGTAGGGCATCTCTTGCCTTCTGCAACAAGGGCTGTTTGAGAGCAAACCTGACCATGAGCGGGCTGACACCAGCACATCTGTACTGCTTTGTGGCTGTTCAGAAGACGGTCTGAACCTTGTGAGATCCCTTCTCTGACCCTCTGGGAGAAGGAAGATTGCATTTTAAGCTCTTAGAGGCTGCTCAGAGGCCTCACAGAGGCTGGAACAGGGACACGCTCATTCCTAGCTGCCAGCCGGTACGAATCATTGCCTTCTCCCACAGCAGTTGGCAGGGAGAGGCTGTGCCTGCTAAGCCCAAGGGATGGTGAATGTGGTGAGGAGGGGATGTGGAGGATGGAGCAGGGCTTCTGGCAAGAAAAAGGGGCAGGAGTTGCGGTGAAGCAGGTGATGTGAATGGAGAAAGCATTGCTCATCCCCATGCCCCAGTGCACTGTGGCATGTACAGGAGGAGAATTAGTTGGCATCTCTGGTCCCTGTGGGAGGGATGAGCCATGGCTGCAGAGACATGCATCCCTGCAGGGCCGGTAGTGCCATGGCCCATCAAGGGCAGCCTGAGCCGTGGGGGGGACATGTCTGAATGGGGGCCTGGAGGGGGGCTGCTGGTGCGGGCTGAACGTCCTGGGAAGCTCCGTGCTGTGTGCCATGGAGGAGAGAATATGGTGTCCTAGGACACAAGGGTGGATGGGGAGATTCATGGCTGAGTGACCCTTCAGGCTACAGGTGCACAAGGAGAGTCCATCCCAACCAGCCTGAGCAAAAGGTCTCATGCTGGCAGCAGGACATGTCACCTTCCCTCTCCGCCCAGGGCATGATGGGTCACTGGGGATTTCTCTCCCATGTCCCACCTCAGCACCTCCCACCCCAACTAACACCCACTGTCACCTCCACAGAAATATGCCAGAGGCCTCGGTGGGACGCAAGACTCCAGCTGGCACCAGACCAGAGCAATTACAAGACAAACAAAGAAGTGATGCTGAGCTGTCCTGAGGGTTTGCAGCCACCCTTCACCCATGTCAAATGTTCAAGGGAAGTCCAGTCCAGCAGCAATGGGAAACCTGTGTACAGAGAGGTTTGGCTTGGAAAGGACAGCAAAGGCCAGTGGAACCGCACTCAGAGCAGAGTGGAGTGCATCGGTAAGGGAGACATCAGGAGCTCTCCTGACTGCCCCTCTCTGCCCATCCTGTGTGGTGTCCTGGAGCTGCATCTCTCACTTTGCTGTCAGGGAAGATGAGCATCTGTGCAGAGGGAATGATGGGGAAGGCGAAGTTTGGCTGCAGGGCTGGGAGGGGGAGGGAAGGCACTGACCCTCTTGCAATGTCTCCTCCACAGAGGTGCTCCACATTGACCCCAGGACCCTGGAGGTTTCCAGCACCAGCATCAAAGTGAACTGGTCCTGCCGGATCCCTGAGGCGTGCTCGCACATGCGGGCCACGTGCCGGCTGGCATGGCCTTCCTCCCCTCCCTGTGAGGCTGAGGAGGTGCTGGGAGAGGAGATGCTCCATGGGCAGGAGGGGACATTCTCCTGCCTTGCTCTGCAGCCCTTCACTGAATACAGTGTCACCATCTCCCTGCTGCCCGGTACCATCCTGTTCACGTGGCTGGTCAGGACCACGGAAACAGGTTTGTATTCACAAGGATAGGAGATAAGGAACAGGTTTGGGATATGTCACAGGGGAGGGTGGATTGATGTCCTCTTTTCCCAGAGTGTTGTCTCCCTGCAGCGGTGTCCTGGGAACGGGGCTGCTTGAATGCTGTGGGGGTCTGGAGAAGGGGCGGTGTGGGGCTGCCTGTGCCCTGCTCTGTGATCAGCTCCTGGTCAGCAGCCCCACGCGTGACCCCATCCTTCTGCGTTTCCAGTGCCGGACAAACCAGAGAAGCTGTGGCTGGATCCCAGCACGGGGTCGCTCAGCTGGGAGCCGCTGCCCTCCTGCAAAGGGGAGATCATTGGATACCAGGTACCAGGGGACCTCGGGCTGCCTGTGTCCTCCTTCCCTTGGCACGTGCTCCTGCATGGAGCTCACTGCAGGCAGCATGGGGACGGTGGGGATGGAAAGCTGTGATGGCCCATGGTTCCCAGCCAGTTGGGGGGAATATGTAGCTGCGATGAGCAAGAGCATTTTCTGTTTCACCCTCGACATTCCTTGTGGTCTGCAGTTGCCTGGGGAGGTGGTGGATGCTCCGTGCCCTCTGGGCTTCCTCGCTGGGTGTGCTCAGCCTGGGGTTGTGCAGACTTTGCAGCTCGGTGTGCCACACTTGGTGATGTGCCTCCTGCAGTGGCCTCCCAGGGTTTCCTGTGCCTCTTGTGTACTTGTTTCTGGTTCCTGGTACAGCGATGCCTGTGGTTTGTGCTGTTCTCTAGAAAAGCCTTTCCTCCGGCAGAGCTGCATCGTTTCTTTGGGCTTTCTTCAGTGCGTGAATAGAAGCTCTGGGTTGCTCTGCTTCTTGGGCTTGGGGCTTCCCCCAAGGTGCATCTCTGCTTTCTAGTACCCCTACCAGTGTGCCCAGCTCCCTCTCTAAGGACAGACCTTTCTGTGAAGTGACAGGGATCCTGACGACAAGCTGTTTCTTTGTGCCCCTCTTGAGAACCTGGCAAACAGGGGCCCTGACGGCATGGATTGTGCGTCTGTTCTAGCTGGTTCCCCGCTCCCAGACACCTCTGCAAAAAGAATCCTTTATTCTGCCTTCAGTTAGCTCCTTTTTTGCATATTCCCAAGATGCAATTTCCATAAAGACCCTGACAGAAGCGAAGATGGCCTGGAATCTCATGAGAAATTCAGATGTCGCATTGGCATATGGAGAGCCTCCATCTGTATCTCTTGCAGGCAGTCTGTCCTCCTCTTTTGATGTAGACAAAGCCTTCACAGTCCAACCTTGCATGGGGAGAAGGAGAAGTCAGGGTTCCCCTGTGGTGCTGTCACCAGTGCCTGCTGTTGCAGTGCCGGACTGGTGACCTGGCCCCGCGCTCGCCGCACCCCTTCAGACAAGCAGCCTCCCTCCTGCCCTCAGCTCCTCACCCAGGCTTGGTCCTGTGCTCACAACCGCTCTGAGAGCTGCAGCGCTGGCTCCACGTCCCTGCTCTCCTCCTCCTGTCTGCTTTGAGCTCCACGCGTGGGGCCAAGGCTCCTGCTGCTTCCTCGCCAGGGGCCTGGCCCAGGCGCAGCGAAGGGGCCACTTGCAGGGCGCTTTGCTGCGCCTCGCTGCGCTGCGGGCAGGCTCCCGAGGGCAGGGGGGAGCCGCTGCCCCAGCGCCGCCTCTGTCCCCAGCTGAACATCACGGCCAGGAGCGCGCAGGACCGCGCTTTGCTGGAGCTGGAGCGGCTGCGGCTGAGCAGCTCCGTCACCGCGCACCCGCTGCCCGCGCACGGCCCCGGCACCAGCTACGTGGTGACCGTGCGGGGCCTCACGGCCGCCGGCGCCGGGGCTGCTGCGCTCCGGGAGTTCCCGACCAACCGCTCGGGTAAGGCTGGCGCTGTCCCCCCGCTCCCTCCGGGGCGGCCGCGGCGGGCGCCCGGCTGCGGCAGCTCCCTGTGCCCGTCCCCGCCGGGGGCACCAGGAGCTGTGCTCTGCAGCCTGCGCTGCCCGGGGCCGGCCCTGCTCCTCGCACAGCCCCTGGCTGCTGCCGCTGATGCTCGCCCGGCTCTGCCCCTCCAGACGCCCCGCAGCCCCTGCCCGTGAGCTGCCGCGGCGCCCGTGACATCTCCCCGTCGCAAGGGACGGCCCTGCTGCCCCTGCGCCCCATCGCCCGGCACCACGAGCCGCCGACGTGAGTGCGGTCCCGGCAGCTCTGCTCGCCTCACCCCCCGATGGCTTCCCCACCGCAGCCACCCCCGTTCCGCTCTCCCCGTGCCCACCTCCCGGCTCCCTCTCACCGCCTCCTTGCAGGGAGCACCAGCTGCTCGTGGCCGCCGTGCACAACAGCACGACGGTGGAAGGCGTCTGCTCCGCTCAGCCGCAGCCCTTCAACGCCAGCCGGCAGCCCGGGGCCTACGTGGCCGCCGTGCTCAACCTCAGCACCCCGATGGACTTTGTGCTGGGCGACGGCACCCGCGGGCAGGGCTACCACAACGCTGCCCTCCGCCCGGGCTGCAGCTACACGGCCCTGCTCCGCCTCGTGCGCCGCTCGCAGCAGGTACCCTCGTGGGGTCCTGCTCTCTGGGGACGCTGCCACGGCATTCGGTGGCCTTGAGTGGGAGACTTTTGCCCCTGGGGTGGGCACTGGGGCAGGAGTGGGCTGAGATCTCCCTCCCTTCCTCCTTCGACAGGCAGAGAAGTTCACCTGCATCTGCTACAGCTTCTCTGTTGGTAAGTGGGTTCCTCATTCCCTGTGCCTTATTCCTGCATGTTCCCTTTTCCCAGCCTGGTCACTTCCTGCAGAGAGGTGCAGGCCAAGTGCAGCAGCATTGGATTCTCTGTGTCCTACTTCCATCTTCGTGTAAATGCTCTGCATCTTGAGGCTACCTATTGTACATGAGCTTTAGCCAGCCTTGGGCCACTTGGTCAGGTTGGCACCAATGGCTGCTGGACTATGCATCATCTGTTCCATCATCACTTATCACATCTTAGTCCTAGTGCTCCCCTGGTTCATGAGACACCCCATAAATGCAAACCTCTTGTCATGCTCTGGTTGTGCCTGGGGCAGTCAAGGAGGGAGGTAGGGTCCACACTGGAGGGTATCACACCAAGCTAGCACCTACTCTTTCCTCACCAGCTTTGCTATTCTCCAATACAAAGCCTATGTTGGGAGATGAGAGAAGATGTTTTTTTCACTCCATGCCCTTATGCAATCTCACAACACCTCGTTCAGGCTGTGTGGGAGCCTGACACTGGCATGTGCTGGTTGCAGGACAGGAGCCGGTGCCTCTGCTGAGCAGCATGTCCGTAGCTACAGCAGTAGCACTGGTTGTCACACTCCTGGCACTGGGGATTTTGCTGCTGTTTGTGATCTTCAGGTCAGTATGTGCCTCCCCTCTGCTACTCTTTGTGAGGCATCAGCCCCTTGCACTGCCAGGGAGTGCCCAAGCAGACCCTGAGATAAAGCAAGGTGGGACATTGGGCTGTTGCACATGCAACAGCCTCTCCTCTCTTTCTCTTTTCTGCTGGTCTATGGACCTGATTTGCTGTTTTGCAGGAGGAAGTTCCGCAGCTCAAAAACCTCAGACAACAGAGGCACTATCCCCCTGAGAAGATATCGAGGAGGTGCAGTATGACAGTGTGCCTTGTCTGGACAGGGTGTCTTTTAAAAGCTCAGGCAGGGTGCTTACAGGATCTGTTAAGGTCCTTACATGAACGAGGGGATCAGAGCTGGCTGCCACGGGGAAAGGGACACCTCCCAGAAGAAAGGGACCCGTGTGGGGAGGGATAACCTAGGGTTGGAGGGGTCCTGACCACTCTCATGCTAAGCTGGCCTCATGGTCTCTGTAGGTGTGAGCAAGATGAACACGCAGATCCCGGTGGAGGCACTGCTGGAGGCTCTGAAGAGGTTTAAGAGGGCAGAAATAGAGGCAGAGCAGACAGAGGATGAATCAGTTGACACTCATGGTGCGGGGCGTCTGGGGGAGTACCAGGTCTGGTCTAGTTTTGCTTTACCACCCTGCTACACTGCCCTCACAGCCCTCACACCTTCCTTGGGAGTGTCATGTGGTTGTCCAGAACTCATGCCAATGTAGAGTGGGCTTGTCTTCTTCCTCTGCAGCAACTCTCCTCCAGTTTGTTGCATCCCTGCGATGCCGGGAAGGAGCTGTGTAATCAGAGCAAGAACCGCTACAAGAGCATCATCCCATGTAAGCAGGGGTTGGCACAGGCACTTGGGGTGGTTGGGGAGAACACGGTGCTGGGCTGTTGTAAGTACCCCTCCAACTCTTCAGCAATGCTGAGCTCCTCACCTCATCCTCTGTGGCTACTGAAACCAAAAGGGGTTTTCCAGAAGCATCATGTTGACCTCACTGTTTTATATCCAGTTGTAGAATCCTTATTCTGCTCCTCAAATCTCCCTGCAAGCTTAGTAATTCCTATTCCTATTCCTTCTGTTAGTCATTGCTGAACACTGCTGTGTCCCATCCAGAGGTGGCTATTTGTGGGAAAGCAGAGTGACCCTATTTCTACCAAACTTTAAAGATCCTCTGGGCTCCACATAGCGTGGGCATTTGGTCATTGCACTGTCTTCCCCAAAACCACACTGCATTTCCTGCTGTGCCACATCAGCTTTCATCTCATTAGCTATTCTTTACGTCTGAACATGTCCTGATGCCTGGAGTGCTGCTGAGGAGGGAGCTGACAATCCCAGATTTCCTAAATTTACATCCCTCTCCTTAAACAGTCGCTTTGTTGCTGTCCCAAAGAGACCATCCCCCAAATGCTGCCTCCCTTCTCTTTCAGATGATCACTGCCGTGTGGTGCTGCAGCCCTCTGACACAGGGAATGGCTACATCAATGCCAGCTACGTGGATGTAGGTATTGGGGAATTGCTGCCTTGAGGAGGGTAGAAGTGCCTGGGGAGGGTAGAGGTGCCCCACCTCTAACAAGAAGGGGCCTGTGTGAGGAGACAGGAGCTGAGATGCAGCCCCTGGGTGCCCACTCTCCATTATGGCAGGAGTGGTGTTGTGACACAATGTGCCAAGACCCTGGGCTCTGATGACTCTGTCTTTCATTTCATTCCTCGTTAAACATTAAACCCATGTGATTGGAGATGTTTTAACCTCTCCCCAACAGAGCTACCGGAGTCCACGTTTCTTCATTGCAGCTCAAGGTGGGTGCTCCCAGCCCTCATCTCAGGAGGTGCCAGTCACTGACACTTTGGGGAGTGGGGATGTGGGACAGCAGATTAGTAGCAGTCAATGTCTCAGCTCAAGGTCCTGTATGACCTGCACATGTCTGTCTTGGAAAGAGGTTACACTCTGTGGCAATTTGGCAGCATCCAGCTACAGCTGAACCCTGTACTCCACAGGCTGGACAATGGTCTTTCTACACACAATATACATAACCCTAACCTCAACGCAAACGCTAAAACCTAACCCTAAAAACTAAACCTAACCTGAAAACCTAACCTTAACCCTAAACCTAAACCTTAAACCTGACCTTAAATCTAACCTTAAACTCTAACCCTAACCTAACTTCCACCACCCGTTTGGTGGCTGGAGTGACAGGGACAAACCTGAAAATGCCTGACATGCCTGCACTCAGTGCACTCAGAGACAGGTGTCTTCCAACAATGCAAAGCTGGGATGGGTTAGTGTGCTCTGTGCAGCATGCAGTGAGGAGGTCTTACGCTCCTTGCAAAAGCTGCATGAATACTGTTTGGGAAATAGGATCCTAAATGTGAGAGCAGCTCACAGTCCTCTTGAGTGTCTGGATGGGGAAGCCCTGGAAGGAGCAGTGAATCCCTGATTTACCCTAGGCTCCTTCTTCCTTGTCTCAGTTTCTAACATGTGTGATGAAGCCAAGGTGTCCAGTACATCCTGCCAGTGCCCAGGCTGTGCAGAAGGAAGCCTGGGGATGCTCACAGCCTGGGAACATCTGAGTTGTTCCTGGGAATAGCTAAACCCCATGGCTTGGACACTGACACAGGGTTCTCCTCTTTCCAAGGCCCCTTGCCTGGGACAGTGCTGGATTTCTGGCAGATGGTGTGGCAGGAGAAGACTTCAGTCATTGTGATGCTGACAGGCTTAGTGGAGCAGAACAAGGTAGAGAAACCATCTTAGCCTGGTCTCAGCTTGAGCTTCCACAAAGCCCAGGCTTCCCTACCTGCTTTGCTTTGCTCCTAGTGCATCTATCAGGGAAGGCAGAGAGCAGCTCTGCACCACTGCTGGCTTGCAACGCTCCCCCCCTGAGTCTGCTAGTGCTTAGCGATCTCACTGCTGTTGACAGACCAAGTGCGAGCAGTATTGGCCTGAGCACGAGCAGGTCTATGGAGATCTCACTGTGACACTCAACAACACCAGGACCACCACGGGCCTTGTCACACGCATCTTCTCCCTGCAGAAGGTAAGCCTGGTGTATAGCTGAGATGGGGATGCAGGGTGCTTTTGGGTTTCAGCAGCTGGCAGGAGCTGTTGGCCCAGAGATGCTATGGGAAGCCCTGCTTGTTTTCTGCACCAACAGGGCAGCATTGCTATCACTGGATACCATGCTGGGGCATCAGCCCCACAGGTTTCTGTGCCAGGCAAAGGCAATTGGTCAGCTCCAGTGTTCACCCCAGCTGAGTCTGGGCAGATGATACACATGGACAGACTGTGCATCCTTGAGGGCTTGGAGGAGGTGATCACAAAGGGCATGAAAGCAGCTAAAGGGTAGGAAATGGCATCTCCATACATCTAGGATGATGGGTCAGGTGCCCTCCTGTCTCATGGGCCACTCTGCAAAGGGTCCACGGTGAACCCTTGGTCATTCACAGTTTCTAAACCTGAACAGACAGTCCATGGTTTAAGATAACATATATGAAGACATTTGTCAAGACGGGTACTTTTGCTGAAGCTGTGCCTGAGATAAAAAAAAACAGAAACTGAAGGAGTAGCAAGGAAGGGAAAACAGGTACAATATAAAGAAGTTACAGTCATGCATATTCTTGTCATTTCTTGTCTTGCCCGCAGCAAAGTGTAGCTGGAAGGTAAAATTCCAAGAGCACCTGATGGTGAAACATAGCAGTTCATCAGTTCAGGCCGAGTGAATGTGATGTTTAGGGAAAAATACATAACGGGCTGATAACAAAAGTGACTACATTCACATCAGTGCAGTACCAGCCTTAGGAAATACCTTATTTGAGCAAGCCAGGAGTGTTCAATGTCTATGGAATCATTGTAAACTCTGGATTTTATATTTTTTCCTTCTGGGGCACAAGCTGCCTTTAGTGATCTGAGTTCACTTTTCACAGCACAGGGGAGGAGAAAACTAGGTGAATTTTGTGGCTATGTGCTGGGTGAATTTGCTCTTTGCTGTCTAATAACCTATAGTGGAGCATTCATTGCAGTGAGGGTACTGAGGGGAACACTGAGTGCTGGTATCCCCGTGAAGTGTTGTTTTCCTCTGCTCCACACTTGTTGGCATGCAAGTTTCCATGTTTCCTGCTCCCAGCCACGTCTCCCTCTTTGCAGGCAGGCTGTGCTTTCCCAAGGGTGGTGGAGCAGTTTCACTACCTGCTGTGGCCAGACCATGGAGTCCCCAGAAACTCTGCCCAGCTCCTGTGCTTAGTGGATGTAGTGAATAAGAGGGCATTGGAAGCGCCGGCTGGCCCCATAGTGGTGCACTGCAGGTACTGAGTTGGGAGATGTTGGGTGCTAGGAAAGCTGGCCAGGGCAGCCCTGACCCCCAGTTGTCTCTGTCCTCAGTGCAGGGATTGGACGCACTGGTACCTTCATCGCCTTGGACTTCCTCCTGAAGATGGGGAAGGCTGAGGGGAAGGTAGATGTGTTCCACTGCGTGCAGAGGCTGCGGGAGCAGCGCATCAGCATGGTGCAGACCAAGGTGAGGAGAGCTGTCTGTTCCCTGCATGCTGTCAGACTGCAGATCTGCTTCCTACCCTTCCCAGGGGCTGTGGCGTGCAAACAGCACTGGCCATACTGTTTATGGTCTAGACACCGAGACTGGAGCTGCCAGGTGATGGAGACTGCAGGATCTTGTTTTCAGTGCTGTGTCCAAACCTAGTCAGGATCTGCATTTCCCTGAGACCCTCTGAAGTTCCAGCAGCATTCCTATGTACCAGTCATCCATTAATATATTAATTGTAGTATGTATAGAATTAGACAAGAAGCATAAAGAGGCCTTCAGGTTTTCAGGATTTCTCCCCTAGTGGCACCAGCTGGGCATCAGTGTCCAAGCTTGGGGACTGTATACTGATGCTCAGTGCTGGAACTCTTTGGAGGTCACCAGCTTGGGCAGGATCATGCAGCTGCTTGTAGTTCACTGGTTTTCTGGGTTTTCTTCCCCAGAGCAGGGGTCTGGTCTGAGGGGGAGCATTAAACAACAGGAAGATGGTCTTGCCTGGGTTGTTGCAGTTTCTTAGAGCAGGGCTGCCTGCACTGGGAGGTGTCTGACCTAAGAGACCCACAGCAGGAAAGTAAAGGGTGGAGCTGGCTTGTTTCTGATTGATGCCAGCTGTTTGGAGTCCCAGGGCTCCTCATGGAGCTGCTCCAGACTGCAGCTGACCCGTGTCCTCATGCAGGAGCAGTACACCTTCCTGTACGAGGTGGTACTCGAAGGCTTGCTCTGCGGCAGCACTGGGGTCCCAGTGGAGAGCATCGCCAGCCACGTCCACTGCCTTCAAGAAGCTGAAGCCTCAAGGCACAACAATGCCCTTGAGAAGGAGTTCAAGGTACCACCAGGATCTGATGCACTGGGGCTGGTCTGTGGTGCCTCCTACCAATCCCAGCTGTGGCATGGAGAGGGGAGAGCATTCCTTTGGGGTGGCTGAAGAAGAGGAAGAGCTGACAGGCAGGACTTGCTTGGCTGAATCATCCCTACAGGCCGTTCAGAAGTTTTCTGAGTTGTTCCAGCTCCTACCATGCAGAGAAGCAGAGAAGCCCAACAACCAGCCCAAGAACCGCAAGCCAGGGATCCTGCCAGGTACCACTGGCAGGGCTGGACAGCCTGAGAGTAGGGTGGGGGGTTGATGCTGCCCTGCTGCTTCCCTCACCAGCGCCATGCCACTGGCAGGTTCTGCCCAAGGTCCAATTGGCATTTTCTGGTTGGTAATAAATAGAAGGCTGGACTCTCCATGAGAGCACAACCCTACCCCTGCTTCCTTCTGGGCTTGCAGGAAACATGCATTCACAGGATAAACATGTCCCTGGGTCTGTTCTTTCCCAGTGGAGAAGCCCAGATGAGACATCAAGGAGAAATAACGAGGGGGTACCTGCTGTGCCTCTATGCCTCTGCCTATGGGGTTTTGGACATCCTGTGTCAGGCAGCCCTGAGCTGTCATGGCCGTGGGGCTGGTGGTGCCTGTTCGTCCAAGCCCCTCCAGCCCATGCCACAGGACCCCACCACTTGCAAGGAGAGCCCCATGCCTTAGTGGAGGGAGAGGTTGGCTCATCACTTCTCTCTGCCCCTGGCCTCCACAGCGGATTCCTGCCGGCCCATCCTGATGTCCTCGCTGAACGCAGACGGCTCACCAGCTTACATCAACGCTGTGTTTGTCAACGTAAGGCTCCAGCCCCAGTGGGAGGTGGGAGATGCTGGGAGCAGCAAGGATCCCCCCAGGGTACCACTACTCAAGGCAGGGCTGGGCCATGCCACACCGGTTTGAGGTGTCCCAGACCTGGGGCTTCTTCAGTGGCTGCATCCCAGCGGCTGGGGCCCTGCTGCCAGGAGGTGGCCCCCGTGATCAGCCTAAATCCGGCCTGCACAGGCAGCTCAGTAGACAGCTGATGGCTTTTGCCTGCTGGGATGTGATGAGCTGGGTTGTGATGAGCTGAGGGTCAGCTGGGTGCAAAGCCTGCTCTGGGCAGGAATGGGGTAGGATGCATCTCCCTGGGTCCTGCCCTGGTCCTGCCGGCTGTCAAAGGGGCTCCCAAGGGGTGGGTTGTGTGACCTTTTCCTTCCCCACGTCCCCGTGTGTTTTGCAGACATACACTGAAGAGGACAGACTCATCATCACCCAGATGCCCTTCCCCACCACAGTGGTGGATTTCTGGGCTCTGGTCTGGGATTACACCTGCACAGCGGTGGTTGTCCTGAACCAGCTGCAGGAGCTGGATGAGGTCAGCAGCATATGAGCATCCCTGCCCAACCCTACCTCCCTCTGAGGACAAGCAATATGCTTTCTGCCTTTGCCCCTTTGCCTGCTGCAGGAGCCCACTGCCATCTTGTGGGCTCCATCCAGGGGACCCCTGAGGACACCTCAGAGGTGGGGTGTCCCCTGTCTCACAGCAAGGGAGCATCCCTCAGGGTTTCCTTACCCTTGCCCAGTGTTACTCTTCTGGCTGCAGCACCATGGGCTCATCCCCAGCAAATGGCAGGAAGAGCACACACGTGCACACTGTGGCTTATGGACAAGGGACTGGTGTGTGCACACCCACGTGAAGGCTGAGCTCTGCCACATATACAGGTAGGGGCTGTGTGTGATCACACGTGTATGTGTGTCTCCAGACATACACAGAGTTCTGGCCCATGCAGGGCGAAGCTGCCTATGGCCATTTCCATGTCCACCTCATCTCGGAGGAGCCTGGAACTGGCTTCACAGCCTGGACACTTGCCCTCACCAACAAGCAACAGGTAAGTACTTTGCACAGAGATGGAGAAAGCCCTTTGAGAATGGCCTTTGCAAGAGCTGGGAGGACCTGCCAAACTCTAGCATCAGCAGGCTTTGATCTGGGGACAAAGTCACAGCTAAGGATGGCCGGGGCAACAACGGTCAGAGGGATGTGATGGGGGCCTGGAATGGCACTGTCCAGAGCAGGACCTTTTGCCCTGGGAGAAAGGTTAGTCCGAGGAGGGTGAGGCTGCAGGCAGAGGTATGTTTGTGTACCTTTCGATATGCTTGTGTACCTTTTAATATGCTTGTGTACCTTTCGATATGCTTGTGTACCTTTCAATATGCTTGTGTACCTTTCTAACTTGGAGGACAGCAGCCAGGGGTAGAGTTTGTGCATCTCATGATGTTTCATGGATGGGATGAGCTATTATGGGTAGCTGGGCACTGGGCTGGCATGAGTCTGCGCTGAACCTGATGCTTGTGGTCTGTACATCTCCCAGTCCCAGAGCACTCAATGGAGAAGGGCAAAGTCTGGGACTGGGCTATCCCACTGTGGAGCTGCTCTCTTGATCCGGTGTGCATGGCTGAGCCAGGACTAACACACTCTCTCCCTCCTTTCCTGCTGTAAAGCAAACGGGTTTCTTCCCTGCCCAACCCAGTGTCTTTCTTCCCCACTAGCCCAAGAAGCCTCCCCTGGAAGTGTGGTTCTGGCAACTGAAAGACTGGTCCATGAAGCAGCATCTTCCCCCACACCCTGCCACCATCATCAGCCTGCTAGGGAATGTAGAGACACACCACCGGCAGAGCCAGGATGGACATATCCTCATCACCTGTTGGTGAGTGATGTCCCCGAGAGGAGCAGCCATGGCGCAGAGCTAGCTCAGACTAGGCTGCAGCAGTGAACTTAGGTCACAGCTCAATCTTGGGTGGACATAAGGACATGAATGAGCTGTGTTCAGGAAAGAAGGCTTCCCTGTGGAGGCTGGCTGGATGCAGGATCTGTGGACAAGATCATCCTGAGAGCCTGCATGTCTAGTGGGACACCTCTGAGGGTCAGCCCTGCTCTCCCCTTGTTCTCCTCTGCAGGGATGGTGCCAGCCGGAGCGGGATCTTCTGTGCTGCTGGTTTCCTGTGTGAGCAGATCCAAAGCGAGGGGCTGGTGGACGTGTCCCAGGCTGTGAGGATGCTGAAGAGACGGCGGAGACAGCTGATTAAAGATGTGGTAGGTGTTGCCTTCAAACCCAGACAACAGGGCAAGACCAGTGCACAAGCTATATCTTGGACTGTACCAGCAGCTGCCCTAGCACCAATGTGCTCAGATCACCCTGGGGCTAGCAGGGGCAGATGAGACCTCTGAAAACCCTGTTTTCTGCTGCTGCTGCGACAAACACACTGACTGGGGGGCAGGTTCTGCAGGACTGGATGGCCACCAAAGCATCCTGCTTTGGTGCTGCCCTTTCTCGTCCACTTGGCCAGCTCAGTTGGGGGCTGCACTGGTGGGTGCTCAGATGCCTATCCTGCACCCATTCTGCACAACTGCCTATCCTGCACACCATTCTGGGTGCTAAGAGCCATTATAGGGTGAGCAGCCTGGATAGGAGTGAGCAGTAAACACTTCATGCTATGGATGCTGGCTCCAGCAGTGGGGAAGCCCAGCCTTCTGCTACACTTATGGTTCCTCAATGGGGAAGGTGGGCTTCGCTGGGAGGAGGAGAATGAGCTGTACGTATGCCTGACTTGCTCAGGAAGCTGTTAGCAACCAAGACTGGCTTTCCATTGCAGTTGTTGGTGTACCAGGTTCTCACATGCATCCTTCTGTCCACAGGAGCAGTATGGTCTCTGCTACGAACTAGCCCTCAGTTACTTGAATTCATTTGAAACCTATGGGAATTTCAAGTAGAGGCATGGCCACAGCACACTTCCACCCCTCCACCAGTAACAACGGAAACCACAGGAGACAAGAAGGGTGTGCACAGCCCCAGGATGCTTTAACTCCCATGAGAAGCCACCCCAAGGGTCCTCTATGGCTGGAAAGCACTAGCTGGACCATCTCCAAATTGTGGTGAGGCTTTGAAGCAGGACCCTTTGCCCAACCTTTGCACAGGAACTTACTGGAATCACAGACTGAGTATGCAGAACAGAGCAGCGGCACCAGGACTTGACCTGTTTGTGCCAGGGATGAAGAGAATCAGGCTCCCTTGTCCCTTCAGGCAGCCCCAGGGAAGTGGCATCGCTCTACCAACACCCAAACAGTGTTCTGCCAGGGGAGTGTCAAACTGCTGTAAGATCCATGGGGCTCAGGAGGATCTGGCCCAATCTGCAAGAACCATGAAGCCCAAGGCCAACAAGAGTCAATGAAGGGACAATCCACAGTCCTTTCCACCCCACACAATCCCTTCCTGGAGCTCAATCTTTCTGATGCTGGTCCAGGTGCCACAGCCCTGCTAGATCCCAAGAGGCTCCCTCAGCATCCTGTCTGGCTTCACCATGGCTAGGTGGTCTGGCTCCCAGGTTGCAGCAGCTCAACTTAAACATCTTGGATGTGGTTCCAAGCAGGGGCTGCTGCACCACAGAGACTGGTTCTACCTTTGCTGCTCAAGGGTCCTCAGAGGCGGGACTGACCCCACGGCTCTGTTCTGTGTCTCAGCAATAAAGGCTCTGTGCCAGCCATGGTGGTGGTGACCTCTGATCTTCACTTTTCTCCCAGGTTTGACCTAGTACGGGGGCTGCAAGGGAGTTGAGAGCACACAGGTCCCTCAGCTCTGGCCACAGCATGGGGACAGAACACACTCCTGCCCAAGATGTGTGTAGAGGAACATCACCCTTCTCTGGCTGCCACCATGCACCTCACCCAGACTCATGTGAGATCTGCCCAGTGTAGCCCTGCGGGTTGGAAGGCCTGTCAGGCACTACTTAGGGATGTGGGGCACAGCAGCCCTGCTCATGGCTTCCCCTCAACAAGGTGTAGTTAGCTCTCTGCAGGGGAGTGTGGCCCCACATGGGCAATGAGGAGACAGGCAAGAGCTGTAGTGGGGCAGGCAGACCGCTTCAAACCACAGTTCTTTATTGGCTGTTCAGACAGAGCAGGCAGAGTCACGAAGGCAGCTCCAGCAGAGCCCTGGGTATGGCTGAATATCAGCAGACAGAGCAGGAAGAGGAGTTGAGAACCCAGGACATGACAAGAGCATGGACCATCCTTCAGCCTGAGCCCATGCAAGTCAGGGACTGGGAAACTTGTTCCTCCTTCCTGGAAACAGAAATGAAAGCAAAGGCTAAAAGAGGAAACTACAGACATCTGCATTTAAAGACCTTAAACATCAGTAAGTGAGAGCTGGGAGGTGAAGGGCGTGAGGAAAGAGAAAGCTCACAACCCACTTGGCCTCCTGTTTTGCTCTAGCTTTGCTGAACTGAATGGGACCCCCAGTGCTGGTCACAGTCACAGGAGCACCAGCGGTCCCAGCAGCCATCAGCACTGGGCTGGGGTCATCCTCCCCATGTTCTTCACTCCCTCTCTGCTCTAAATGTCTCCTGTGGTCCTGGGCAGGGGCTGCAGTGGCTGGCTTACAGCTTGGTCACCTTTACCTGTGGAGACCAATGGCACCCAGGGCAGAGGATGCTGTGTGCCCTTGGGCTGCATGGGGAGCTCACAGCCTGCACACGAGTGTCTGAGGCAGGCACAAGGCACTGGGTGCCTCAGCCACATCTGGCTCAAAAGGCTGAGCCAACAGACACCCTTTGGGATGCCTGTCTTGGCTGCCCCATGCCCCTGGTCCAGCCTGGGAGCACTGCTTGAAGCCAAGCCCTGCTTAGCAGTCAGAGCCACCCTGACCATTCCCAGCTCCAGAAGCCTGGAGAAAATGAGGGGACATGTCAGTGATGGAGATGAGTACATGTTTCTCCATGCGAGACTTTCCTCACGGATGCCACTCAAGTCTTACATCCCTGTCTGTGATGGTGGTCCAGGGAATTGCATTTTCCTACCTTTTTAATTATCCTCCTTAGCTTTTCCAGGCAGAAACTTCCTTTTCCTAGAAAGACAAAGAAGAGTCGTAAGAGACTGGTGTTGCCCACAGACCTGCTGAGCCTGTCCCTTTCCTACTCACCTGGAAACCACGAGCCAATGGATCCCTGCAAACACCAGAAGGATACCCAGCAGCACAAACACCCCAATCAGAGTCCAAAGCCAAGGACGTGGAGATTGCTCTGCAACTAATACACAGCCAGGAGTGGGTGCCACATTTTGGGCCACTTTCTGGCAATGGCCCAAACAATGGAAAAGGATATGCACAACTGTGTACATGTGTGTCTTGACTTAGGTTTGTTCTGGGATGGAGGACCACCCCATGTACTGGAAACAAAAGGTTTCCTCTGCCCCTCAAACAGACCCCATTGCTCCTGTGCTCAGTCAGATGCTCTCAATGGGAAGTGACCAGGCTGGGAAAAGGGAACATGCAGGAATAAGGCACAGGGAATGAGGAACCCACTTACCAACAGAGAAGCTGTAGCAGATGCAGGTGAACTTCTCTGCCTGTCGAAGGAGGAAGGGAGGGAGATCTCAGTCCTCTCCTGCCCCAGTGCCCACCCCAGGGGCAAAAGTCTCCCACTCAAGGCCACCGAATGCCGTGGCAGCGTCCCCAGAGAGCAGGACCCCACGAGGGTACCTGCTGCGAGCGGCGCACGAGGCGGAGCAGGGCCGTGTAGCTGCAGCCCGGGCGGAGGGCAGCGTTGTGGTAGCCCTGCCCGCGGGTGCCGTCGCCCAGCACAAAGTCCATCGGGGTGCTGAGGTTGAGCACGGCGGCCACGTAGGCCCCGGGCTGCCGGCTGGCGTTGAAGGGCTGCGGCTGAGCGGAGCAGACGCCTTCCACCGTCGTGCTGTTGTGCACGGCGGCCACGAGCAGCTGGTGCTCCCTGCAAGGAGGCGGTGAGAGGGAGCCGGGAGGTGGGCACGGGGATGGCTGCGGTGGGGAAGCCATCGGGGGGTGAGGCGAGCAGAGCTGCCGGGACCGCACTCACGTCGGCGGCTCGTGGTGCCGGGCGATGGGGCGCAGGGGCAGCAGGGCCGTCCCTTGCGACGGGGAGATGTCACGGGCGCCGCGGCAGCTCACGGGCAGGGGCTGCGGGGCGTCTGGAGGGGCAGAGCCGGGCGAGCATCAGCGGCAGCAGCCAGGGGCTGTGCGAGGAGCAGGGCCGGCCCCGGGCAGCGCAGGCTGCAGAGCACAGCTCCTGGCGCCCCCGGCGGGGACGGGCACAGGGAGCTGCCGCAGCCGGGCGCCCGCCGCGGCCGCCCCGGAGGGAGCGGGGGGACAGCGCCAGCCTTACCCGAGCGGTTGGTCGGGAACTCCCGGAGCGCAGCAGCCCCGGCGCCGGCGGCCGTGAGGCCCCGCACGGTCACCACGTAGCTGGTGCCGGGGCCGTGCGCGGGCAGCGGGTGCGCGGTGACGGAGCTGCTCAGCCGCAGCCGCTCCAGCTCCAGCAAAGCGCGGTCCTGCGCGCTCCTGGCCGTGATGTTCAGCTGGGGACAGAGGCGGCGCTGGGGCAGCGGCTCCCCCCTGCCCTCGGGAGCCTGCCCGCAGCGCAGCGAGGCGCAGCAAAGCGCCCTGCAAGTGGCCCCTTCGCTGCGCCTGGGCCAGGCCCCTGGCGAGGAAGCAGCAGGAGCCTTGGCCCCACGCGTGGAGCTCAAAGCAGACAGGAGGAGGAGAGCAGGGACGTGGAGCCAGCGCTGCAGCTCTCAGAGCGGTTGTGAGCACAGGACCAAGCCTGGGTGAGGAGCTGAGGGCAGGAGGGAGGCTGCTTGTCTGAAGGGGTGCGGCGAGCGCGGGGCCAGGTCACCAGTCCGGCACTGCAACAGCAGGCACTGGTGACAGCACCACAGGGGAACCCTGACTTCTCCTTCTCCCCATGCAAGGTTGGACTGTGAAGGCTTTGTCTACATCAAAAGAGGAGGACAGACTGCCTGCAAGAGATACAGATGGAGGCTCTCCATATGCCAATGCGACATCTGAATTTCTCATGAGATTCCAGGCCATCTTCGCTTCTGTCAGGGTCTTTATGGAAATTGCATCTTGGGAATATGCAAAAAAGGAGCTAACTGAAGGCAGAATAAAGGATTCTTTTTGCAGAGGTGTCTGGGAGCGGGGAACCAGCTAGAACAGACGCACAATCCATGCCGTCAGGGCCCCTGTTTGCCAGGTTCTCAAGAGGGGCACAAAGAAACAGCTTGTCGTCAGGATCCCTGTCACTTCACAGAAAGGTCTGTCCTTAGAGAGGGAGCTGGGCACACTGGTAGGGGTACTAGAAAGCAGAGATGCACCTTGGGGGAAGCCCCAAGCCCAAGAAGCAGAGCAACCCAGAGCTTCTATTCACGCACTGAAGAAAGCCCAAAGAAACGATGCAGCTCTGCCGGAGGAAAGGCTTTTCTAGAGAACAGCACAAACCACAGGCATCGCTGTACCAGGAACCAGAAACAAGTACACAAGAGGCACAGGAAACCCTGGGAGGCCACTGCAGGAGGCACATCACCAAGTGTGGCACACCGAGCTGCAAAGTCTGCACAACCCCAGGCTGAGCACACCCAGCGAGGAAGCCCAGAGGGCACGGAGCATCCACCACCTCCCCAGGCAACTGCAGACCACAAGGAATGTCGAGGGTGAAACAGAAAATGCTCTTGCTCATCGCAGCTACATATTCCCCCCAACTGGCTGGGAACCATGGGCCATCACAGCTTTCCATCCCCACCGTCCCCATGCTGCCTGCAGTGAGCTCCATGCAGGAGCACGTGCCAAGGGAAGGAGGACACAGGCAGCCCGAGGTCCCCTGGTACCTGGTATCCAATGATCTCCCCTTTGCAGGAGGGCAGCGGTTCCCAGCTGAGCGACCCCGTGCTGGGATCCAGCCACAGCTTCTCTGGTTTGTCCGGCTCTGGAAACGCAGAAGGATGGGGTCACACGTGGGGCTGATGACCAGGAGCTGATCACAGAGCAGGGCACAGGCAGCCCCACACAGCCCCTTCTCCAGACCCCCACAGCATTCAAGCAGCCCCGTTCCCAGGACACCGCTGCAGGGAGACAACACTCTGGGAAAAGAGGACATCAATCCACCCTCCCCTGTGACATATCCCAAACCTGTTCCTTATCTCCTATCCTTGTGAGTACAAACCTGTTTCCGTGGTCCTGACCAGCCACGTGAACAGGATGGTACCGGGCAGCAGGGAGATGGTGACACTGTATTCAGTGAAGGGCTGCAGAGCAAGGCAGGAGAATGTCCCCTCCTGCCCATGGAGCATCTCCTCTCCCAGCACCTCCTCAGCCTCACAGGGAGGGGAGGAAGGCCATGCCAGCCGGCACGTGGCCCGCATGTGCGAGCACGCCTCAGGGATCCGGCAGGACCAGTTCACTTTGATGCTGGTGCTGGAAACCTCCAGGGTCCTGGGGTCAATGTGGAGCACCTCTGTGGAGGAGACATTGCAAGAGGGTCAGTGCCTTCCCTCCCCCTCCCAGCCCTGCAGCAAACTTCGCCTTCCCCATCATTCCCTCTGCACAGACCCAGCAGAGATGCTCATCTTCCCTGACAGCAAAGTGAGAGATGCAGCTCCAGGACACCACACAGGATGGGCAGAGAGGGGCAGCCAGGAGAGCTCCTGATGTCTCCCTTACCGATGCACTCCACTCTGCTC